AGCTGGCCTTCCTTGCAAATTCCCATTTTGCCTTGTGACCCAAAAGGCGCTCGTGGCAATGCATCATATCATTGTGGGAAAATTCTTCTTCTACCAGTCCTTTATCACTTTAAACGAAATTTGGTGAATACATCTCATACTACTGATTTACTGGTAGTCACGAAAACAATACTTAATTCAATAAATATAGACCATAAACCGAGGAAACTGGACTTGTACGAATATTATTTATATATTGTTTAGTATGGATATAAAGAGAATATCATTTTTAGTGCTGTTACTGCTTTGATAGGTAGACCAACTGGTGTAAAGGTTGTTTCTTGGGTTTATATGTTAACTACAGGATCTGTAGGTTGAGGTGATCATATACTTTGGTGAATTATTTTGTGTTTAGTATTTTTTACGCTTGGTGGGATAACAGGTATTGGGTGAATATATCTCATACTACTGATTTACTGGTAGTCACAAAAAGAATTCTTGATTCGAAAAAATTTTGGGAAGGCAAGGCTATGCGAAATTGAATGGAAACGTCAGCTCAACTCATATCATTGTGGACAAATTCTTCTTCTATCAGTCCTTCATCACCTTAAACGAAAATGGGTGAATACATCTAATATTACTGATTTACTGGTAGTCATGAAAACAATACTTAATTCGAAAAATGTAGAAAGACAGACGACAACCGCGATGACATAATCGTGCTGGTACACTCCAAACCGTCGGTAGCGTCAACAAAAGACCACATTCGAGGGGGCCACATGTCCCGTTTCTGACTTGCATAAAGATAAACGAGTACATTCTTTCAACTGACAAGGCGCGTTTCGACGAAATGGCATTGCACACGATTCTCCCTTTAAATCTGACCAATTCATCTTTTACAAGATTACCTTCTGAATGACATATTCCGGGAGCTGGTGTCTCATGTTCCCAATCTGAGCGCATGCTTAACCCTTGCCACTGCTCACTTCGTGTTAGAGGTGCCACCATTTGCCTATCAAATGTAATCTCTCCACAATCCGCCGGAGACATAATCTATTTTCCACTTTATTTTTGCCTCGCAAAGTTCATGGTATCCAGCGGATGCGGGTGATCCTGAGGAAAGGTGGTCAGGCCCTGATGGATCACATGAAATACCTGCTCGATGCATCCAAGCTTGCGGAAGAACCGACGCCCGAGGAACGTGGTGAGTTGCTGGTGCGCCTCAAAGTAACAGCATAAGTCCCGTCTCCACCTATTCGACTGCAACAAG